GGAAAGGCCACTCTACCATCCACCAACTCGCACGGGTTACTAACATCATCAAGCGGAATAAGTCCGTTTTCAATACATCTGCCATGGCATTGTTGGACGTCGAGAAGGCATTCGACAATGTCTGGCATGATATTCTAGTGTACAAGCTGCATCGATACAACTTTCCGATCTACCTCGTGAAGATCATCAAAAACTGCTTGTCCAGGTCTACTTGAACAATGTCCCCTCTGATACGTTCAACGTTGATGCAGGGGTCCCTCAAGGTAGCCTGCTTGGGCCTACCCTATTCACCATTTTCACGTCAGACGTTCCTCCCCTGCCGGGTGGTGGTATCCTGTCAATGTTCGCAGATGAAACCTCCATCATCTATAAGGGTCGAGTGATCCGTGCTCTGGCGAGTAAACTACAATCAGGCCTGGATGTTTTGTCCGACTATTTTAAGAGCTGGAAGATTTGTATCCATTCTGTTTCCACACACGAATTCACCTTGGCTTGTTCCGCCTGCTAACGTCAAGATCCATCTTGATAGCACTCCCATTGAATGGTCGAGTGAAGTAGTCTACCTTTGTGTAAGTCTCACTCGATAGCAAATTGCTATTCCGATCCCATGTGGACAAGACATCCACCAAGTGTAACACCTTGATAAGGTCGCTCTACGCTCTGATAAACAGGAAGTCCAGTGAAGGACAACAACAGGAAGTTCAAGCCTGCTTAGTAATAATCCGACTAATAATGCGCCAAAGCCCTGTTTTAATCGTATGTTAGCTTAACTGCAGACCATGATTTCGGCTTGTAGAGTGCTTTAAAACCTCAATAAAACTTGAAACGTTACTTGGGCTCGGATGTGCAATACGTGCTTGTTTTTTTATATCTTTATTAAGGAAACTTTCAGCCCTGTGCTGGTTCGTCTCCGGAATAATACGTGCTTGTGAACGATTTCCCACCGGAGGATAACAAATGTCCAACGGAGATGGATAGGCATTGAAGTGTGCACGGGGAATATATTTATAACAGAGGATTAAAGACAAGTGTTTCATATGCGGAAATATCCCTAACGGAAAGTCCAGAAACAGTCAGAAAAATAACTAATAAGGGTGAGGAAATTGACATGTCAAGGAGAGGAAATGGAGTAAATTGAGGAAATAAGTTACTTCTACTGTATTGTAAATCAATATCAAGAAAAATGCGCAAGAAGTTCACTAAACATCTCAACGTAGTCTACGTCAACCATGCGGTCGTGTCTTGTACACAAAACCACCTTTTTTTCGATTGGGCGGAACTGGATGATTTACGCGAGTGTATTCTCTCATGGAGACTCAATGACTCAAAGCTGATAGTAATTTTCAAAACACTGCTATTGGCACTGATTGATGATTCTTTGCTGTTAGTTCTCTCCATGGTTCAACAATATTTTAATTTTGTGAACCTGTTTTACCCACCATCTAGAGATCTTAAAAGAAATTCTATAGCATAAAAATATAGTGGCCCTGAAAAAGGCCATTTGGGATCCAAGAGATTTACACCCAAGTAACATTGCAGGTTTTATCGCGGTTTTATAGCATTATACAAGTCTAAATCATGGTCTACAGAACACTCATAAAACCAAAATTGTTACTAGGGCATGCTGGTACTTTCGGGATGGCATACTTACACCACGGTTCAAATTTGGCAAGTCATCAATGTTGTAGCCAGCCTAACGAAACGACTGCAGTGGAACGTCCGAAAGATTGTGAAGCTACTCAGAGAGCCTCCGATGTACGCGTCCAGTATTACGCAGGTGATCATTGTAGTCAAACTCAGCTGTTTAACGTTCAAAGGATGTCGTTACCGTTGTGTAATGCTTCTCATTTCGATGTCCGCGTCCACTTTCTGGGTCTTTTAAATTAGTTGTGACGACTGCCCTCACAGCTAATGGAATTGCAGCTGATCACGTTCACTGAATTATAGTCTTGACTCTTTCACACCAGTGCAAGTCGATGCCGACCGGATGACGGCGGCCAAGTCATGCTGCCTATTTCGGGAAACCTTTCCTCCGGTCCATGTGTGTGCATTTGTCGTCGTCTTCGTATTGGTGTGATGCGTCCTGTTCCACTCATATGTCGTGTCCGACGGTTATCCGTCCGTTGCTCGAAAGTAAATGACGAAGAAAACGATTTGGCAAGCGTTTTTATTACCGCTGCTTTTCTCCTCCCATTCATTGGTGAAATGGTGAGCGGTCAACTGAGAGGTGAGCTTGCTCATCTGAGCATGCGCAATGTGTCGTGTGTTCGATTTGCGCTCTATCGTTACGTCCGTGTTTGGGATTTTTCATAACATGTCTGAATTTTGATTTTTTTTAATGTGACCCTTAAAATTAGATCTAAGCCCTACTCTCAATTAAAAACTGTGGAAGTGTGTCAAAGAACACAAAGTTGATAGCGTAAACATCTAGAAAGCAGAAGGGTCAAAGATCACTTACATCATTTACAATAAGTTACTTTCACAATAATGTTGTTAAATTATTAAAAGTGATTAATTTTTGAAATTTCATATGTAAAAGTAAGTTTGCCAAGAGAAATCAAATCATTTGAGCAATGGAAAATTTGAACTGAAGCGGACCATTTTAGACACATCCACTTATGTTCCTGGATTTCACGGTTATGTGTCACGAACCTTGAACCAATTGACGGCCTTACGATATGGACCTCCTAGCTGAAAGCAGATTCTTGTAGCACTGCTGACCTTTATACTTGGTTTGATTGTGGTTTCAGCTTTCTGTATTAGACTGGCCCACATTTAAATGGGAGTATTTTTTATCATTTTTTTTTTCAACGGTCACGGTCAACATGTGCTATTAGGTGAGAAAACCACTTTCTAAAAATTTCATCTCATTCAGATGAAACGCGAGCTGGCGCTTTTGGTTTAAAGTTTATATGGGAATTTCTGATTGAAATTATGGGAAAATAAAATTCCTTCACTTTTCGTACATTCTGGGTTCAGCAAACTCGATTAGAATTTCAGCACATGTAGGAACTATAATGAATAATATTGCTGAAGACGGCATTACGATACAAGTTAGTATTCTAAAACGAATATCTCAATAAAAGTAACTGGATTCACGATGCAATAGTCAGAAAAGTTGCTACTTATTGTTTGAACTATTTCGTGTATTCTAACCAAAACCTCCATAAAAAAATCAAACTAAAAGTGCATGCTCGATAGACTGATGCAAAATTTGAAATTTTCGCTCCACAGTGTTCAAACGGTTTCAAATCGGATCCTGATTAGCCTCCAAAAGTTTAAACTCATTTGATAAGAGACTGACTGGCACAAAACATTTGAAGTTTATATGGAAATTACTATGAGAAAACAAAACTTTTTGTTCATTGTATTTTAGCCTTTTTACATATTGTACTGTTAATAAATTCCATTGCCATTCTTATGGGAATTGTTATCAGCTACAACTTTGCAGGAAATAGTTTTTCAGCCAAACGTCAAATTAAATAGTTATTAATTATTTAAGAGATTGATAATCTTATGGCAAGATTAAGCAACTGTCTTGTGGACAACACTGTCTTCTGCAGTGGGATTTCGCGCTATAAACACCAATGTTGCCTGCTGAACTGTTGTTTGAGCATAATCATAAGACATCAGTGACTTGAATCATTAATAACTTTTGTTCCTTACATTTGATCGAAAACTGGTCGTCAACAAAGTTGTAGCTGAAATTTTTTTTAACAAGCGCAATTATCATTTTTTAAAGTAAAGTAAACTGTATTTTGCGATCGATATGAACCGAAATTATGGTTTCTCCATAGTATCACTAAATGAGTTCAAATTTTGGGAGGCTAATCAGGGCCCAATTTGGAACCGTTTGAGCACTGTGGAGCAAAAATTTCAAATTTTGCATAAGTCTAATGCTCATCTTACCAAATGAGCTTAAACTTTCAGAGAACGGTTTTCTCACCGAACAAATCTATTGGTTGACCCGTGGAAAATTAGAATTTTTATTATTGTGCACCAGTCTAATCTGTATTCATTGTATGTAGCACTATCATTAAACGTAACATTTTTTATAGGTAGAATGTCAAGGTGATATTTGAACACGCATTTAAAAAAAAGGATAATCTCTGTATCAGGTTCAATATTCATAAATTAGTTCCTATGAATGATAAGGTCTATTTCGACAACAGAAAAGAATGTGTATAATTACTGTTTTCCTTAATTGCTTGGTTTAAATCTAGACTGGTAATTATATTTATTGCTTTCTTCATAAGAGCGAGAAAATCCAGCAAACCCCTTAGTTTCATTCTACCACTCTAAAGCACCAGTTAGAACCATCAGCCCGCCATGAACATCTTCCTGTTCATCGCACGTCGATTCCTTTTCTGGAAACCATGGAATCCAGAAAATCGACTGGAATCTTTTCAGCTGCAGCTGACCTTCCTAAAATATATTGGCCTCTGGCCACCGGAAGACGCTCCGAAGGCACAGCTAATTGCATACCGCGTGTACGGATGGTCTTTCCGCTTCTTTTTTATGTATCTGTACACCCTAACGCAGATTTTGTACTTTACGAAAGCGTCTGATTTTCACGTAAGTATTGTTAATGTAAAAGCAATCCAGCCTGTACAAATACTGTGAAAATTTAGGAAACTGTGAAAGCCATGTCCTTGCTGGTGACCCAGATCACGTTGCTCTTCAAGTTGGAGATTTTCAACAGTCAAATTGCTCGTATCCGGAAGTGTGTTTTGAAAGTGAGATGCTCTCTCTACCATCCCAGATGCGACGAAGAGATTAAGTATTGAGTAATGTTCTATAAGCGTATTAAAGAAACTGATTTAAGCTCTTCTATCAGAGTTGTAAAGAGTGCTATGAACCTAACGTGGCTATGGGGTGTCCTTTACATGATGTTCAGCTATTTGTTCATATTTCTTACCAGCATTGGACCATTTATCAAGTCAAGCAGAAGTCTACCCTGTTTGGCGTGGTTTCCCTTCGACTATGAAAGCTCAGCTGTGATGTATGGCGCTCTATGGTTTTATCAGGTGTTAGGAATCTTCATCAGTGCAAGTTACAATCTATCGACGGACACTTTGGTAGCAGGATTGCTGTCCCATATAAACGGGCAAGTAGCTCGGTTGGGTATCATGCTGACAAAGGTTCTGTAAATTTAATAATAGCTTAGTGGATCTTAATTCAAAGCTCAATTTTCATATTTCCAGATGGGTCATCAATCATCGGCGATTGCCAGCGTGGAAAATAGACGTCAGATTGACTTGACCTGCGAACTGTGTAACGAACTCAGTGGAATGCTAGAGGATATTGATTATCTCTCATCAGTACATGGAAAACCATATGGCTTTCTCGTCGAACTGGTGCTGTTCCACAAGGATATTCTGAGGTGAACCTTGCCATTTGGTTGTATTGACTGAACCGTCATTGAACTATTTTTGTTTATAGATTCCGCAATGAAATTGTCGCCATGTTCAATTTGTCAATCTTTGCCCAAGTGATTGCTTCCGTTTTCATCATCTGTTTGACAGCACTCCGATTGATCGGAGAATCGCACGATCCATACGCGATGGTTTGCTCGCTGATGTACCTGATCGTGATAATTTATGAAATTTTGCTTTTCTGCTACGTTGGAAATGACATCGCATATTCGGTAGGGGCCGGCTGTGGCTAATATGCTGCGAAAACGACGATAAATGTCATTTCTCTTTCAGACGGACAAATTCAACGAACGCGCCATGTTTAGCGGCTACTCACGCTTCAATAAGGCGACAGCTAAGATTTTCATCATTTTTTTGTCCCAGTATTGCAATCGTATGGAGGTGGTTTGATAGCGTTGTGATTATTTTCTCTTTATTTTTCAGGATGAAACAACCAGCGGAGATCAAAGTAGGATTCATTTTCAAATTTACCTTATCTTTGTCCACCTTTCTTTGGGTAAGTAGCAGTGCATTGTTTGAAACCTTCTTAGTAAATCATGAAAGTGATTACATGATTGTCTTTTTGCAGATCTTAAAAACGTCATATTCATATTTTGCTGTCCTTAAGAGTGTACAATAGTTGCGATTGGAATGCTATGCAAAAATGAAAATGATAGCAGTAACTCGCTGATGAGACAACGATATCTCATTTCCAGGAACCCCTTGATCCTGCCCTCAAAAATGTTACCCTTTTTAACCTCGAGTAATCCATGAGCAATCGGTCCATCCCTCCTCGACGTAGTATTAAGTTATTCTTGTTAATCCACAGAAAAAAAAAATCTGCTCCGCAAAGCTAACGCGATTGAGTCTTCCAAAAAAATTAATTGAAAATAAAATGATAGCACTTAGGATGGGTGATTCAGTCGTGGAGGAGCTAAGGCAAGTAATTTATTTAAAAAAATGATGTACATACAATGTTTGGATGTCAATCTATAGCTTTCAATATCTATTTTGCTAGAAAAATATAACATCGTAATCAAATTGAATACATTTTCCGAAAACTTGTCCTCCTTTAATAGAAACACATTTCCAGTAGTAGTGATAGTTGCCAGTGATGGCATGATCATTAGCAAATTGATATTTATCCGCTCTCATACGCTCTCAATATCACGCGTGATATTGGAGTAAAATATAATGCTTGATATTGATTTTACAAGCTCCTTTGATATTGAGAGACTATTCACATCGTGTAAAAATCAAGCTGTGAGTTGAATCGACGCAAAAATGAATCCGTTGCACCTCGTTTTCTTAGAAAGAGAAGGTATAATAATGCTATATCTTTTTTTATCTTCACCGATGGCAGACACGAAGCGACTGCTGCTAGCCGTTATGGATGTTTCGGATGCGTTCGGCTGTAAAGCAAAAATAATGAAACTCAATCTCACCACAGTTTTGAGAGATTTGCAGCTGTTGAGTTTTGTAAGCTTGATATTCCAAGCTGCGACATCACAGCTTGCAATATCAACTACAGTTGTTTATTTTTTCCTTTGGTTTGTTTTTTTCCGTCGATCTTGTTTTCCGTGCTGAGCACCAATGCTACCGACGTGCCAGGAAGGCAGCTCCCACACCTGGACCCTACCTATCGACCCATCAACTCATGAACCGGGGACCAACGGATTTACTTCCCATCCGAAGGAAGGCGTGATCAGAGATGTTATGCCTCAGAACATCCCGGCTGGATTGAACCCAGGCCTGCTGGGGTGAGAGGTAATCACGCTTACCACTACACCACCGGCGCCGTTAACTACAGTTGTGAGCTTGTTGATTTTTGTCTACGAAAATCAAGCGTGATATTTAGCATTGGTGAGATTTAATTTTTTGATATTTTTCGAACACGGATAGTTGCCAACTTTGGTTCCTATAATAGTGGAACGCATTGCTATTAATGGGTTCCACTATAGTAGGAACACTATCGCAACTATAGATGCAATGGAGTCAACATCTTAAGCAAAATTAATTGCTTTCCGTCGATTTTGGAAAAAAATAGTTTTAAATATGCAAATCTGCTTTATTTTAGGAGAGCTACCGATGAAAAATAACCTCATCTGGTTTTCTCGCATTATTCCGGCACAACCCCCATACCACAACTATAGGTACACCACTATTACTGGAACACCTACCCTAACATCAATGGAAAAGAAGATATACCAGCACAACGAATGGGTCAAGTTTTTTTTATTGTATTTTATATCATTTCATACGAAAAGCAAAAGCAGAATAAATCTAATATTAATTTATGTAAAGGGGTCATTCCAATTCTCCAATTTTAACCACAATAACTGCAAGGAAAGAAAACAGTACCTAATTTTGAGTTCCTATCACTCAGGTTGGCAGTTCCGTGGACCAACTCAATTTAGAGTACTACCGCCTTCTTTATTTTGAGTTGTTGTCATTGTTTTACGGTAAACAGGATTACCGTAAAACGGGGAAACATTGATAGTTTTTTGAAGCATATTCTAAATATTTTTTACAGCAATGAATGTTTTTCAATTTTTTTTAAACATGCACTGAGGAAACTAGAGTCAATCCGTTAGTAAAATGTTTAACGGAGATTATTGCATTTGCACTATATTTTGTGCCTCCGAACACCATTTTTTTATTTGGGGTTACTTTGATAATACTCGATGTAATGTAAAAAACAATGCATGAAACTCAATCGAATTAGTTCAAGAAATATGAATCTTTGAATGAGTATATAATCAGAAAACATCATAAGCAATAAGAAGACAACATTGAATTTGTGATGGCTATATCGGAAATGCATTTCATAAATGATGTTTTGAGTGCTTTTTCAAACAGCCGACTATGTTTGGAAAATGTGTAACACAGACTATGTAAAAACGCTACAATATGCAACCAATGTTTCAAATTCTGAATAAGTGCAGAGAGTAAATGTAATCATTATATTCAAAGTTAGCCGCATTATAAACGATACCCTGTTTTACGGTATTTACTTTTAAGTTGTTTTAACTCAACGTTCAAACTACTCAAAATTGAGTTACTCAACTTACTCAATTTCAACTTGGCGCACGGAACTGTCGAGTTGGGTGAATAGCAGGGGTGGAAAGCACCTCAGAGCGTTAGCAAAGCAACTTTGTGCACACATCTCACATCACTCGACAAAGAGTGTGTGGTTCTCCCATTTACTTCGCACACTCTTTTCCAACTAATCTGTGAGAAAGCAATCCACACAATGAGCAGTACACTCCGTGCGGCGCAGGGAGCGATTGTAATACAACAAGCGCTAATGTCTTCTGGGAATTCTTTTCAAACTGTATGCATAGGAGATGAAGAAGAGCATAACGAAGAAGAATTTTGTCTTTTTGCTGGCTTTCCCATTTGCAACCTTACACTGAGTGGCGCTCTTTGCGTCGGAGCCATCGGAGTGATTGCTACACATTGAGCTTTCATTAAATCTGGGTGTGTGTCTGTCTTCTCTTCTCCGCTGTTTTAAACTTGCGCAGGGTGAAAGACAAGCAAACTTTGCGTTTGATTGATTCTCACTTTGTTTATTTCAGAAAATCAGTACATTGCGCACATCGAATGATCAGATGACAGCCCTGGTGAATAGAACTAAATTTTGGGTTGTTTTGCTCTTTTCGTTTTTGAAAACAACAAGAGAGCAAGTGAGAGGCACCAACTGAAAGGTAAGTTTAAAGAACTCAACCGTTGGGTAGTTTTGGTTCTCCGTGTGGAATATACTCATTTTGTGACAAAATATTGAAGATTAATTTGAGCAGTACGGTTGACAAATCGTATCAAATTGAGCTGCAGAAAATGTTAGTGACTGTTTTCAGCTTAAAATTTAGCAACAAATCTGATAAAAATATTGTCTATTGTTGGCAGTGTTGCCAACAATTAATTAATTAATTTATCTTTATTAGGGAGGCTTTCAGCCTGGGGCTGGTTCGCCTCCAACTGTTGCCAACAATGTTATTTTTGCAAAAGTAATAAAAACGCATTTGTCACTAAATAGGGTAAATGACTGCTTCAGCAATACCTTAACTTATTGTCGTCAGGGGGTAAACAACGTCGTTGATAGCTTAATTTTGGCATTTGAATATTTGTGTTTCCGAGCATCTATTGACCAAATTTGAGTGCTCTAGGACTTTGTATACCCCCTGACGATAATAGGTTAAGGTATTGACGAAGCCAGCATTTCCCCTATACGAAGTATTTTTTTCGATTTTCCTGGAATCGTGTTCTCCAGGCTTTTTCAGTATAGAACACTCATGTACCTATAGTAAAATGCACGTTTGCTGAGATATGGCCTTTCAAAATAATGTAGTCAGTAAATTTTCATATAACATGTACATTTTCGTAAACCAGTAAACTTAGAAAATGACGGAACTTTTATCATTCCACAGTGGTCCAGAATGCAGATTTAGGTGGAATGATATGTTTTGAGCCTGAAATTGAAACTTTAGACTAAAAGCATCTGCTGCAAAGTTGTTCCTTATAGTTAGTCCCTTATTTTTATGACAATGAATTCTAGGGTGGTTCTTATTATCAATAAAATCAAAAATCTAACTTTTTTGTTTGAATAAATTAAGGTATACATTCTTCGACAAAGTCATAGCTGAGCTAATTTCAAGAACCACCCTTCGTATGAAAAAACTTTTTTGTATCTCTTCAATTGACCGATATAGAGCTATTTTCTTGAATTGAGTTAGGGCGTCTCTAGAAAAAAAAAACAATTGTTTTGCTCTAGTTTTCTTATTTCAAATTTCTCAGCAAAGATGTTTCAAATAACTTTTAAAACTTTAGAAGGCGGAAATTGTTGTTTTACAACACTTGTCAATATCTTTCGCCGATCACGAGTTATTGACGTTTTTCTACTTTACTTCTACTTTCAAATGTTAGTAGTTCTGGTTGGGGCAACAAAAAAGAAGTTTTTTTTACGGAATTTGAAAGGGCGTATGTTATTCTCAATAATGTGAAAAAATTAGATACATGTTACTTTTTAAAATCATATTAAATCAAATTGAATTTATTCATATTTTTAACTATAATTGGGTATATCTTTTTTATTAGGAGAGATACAGACCACAACTTTTACTATGAAAAGTGTATCTTAAATAGCTTTAAAAGTCTCTAGGCGATGACTTTCATGAGAAATTTCAAATAAAAAAGTTTCAATATTTGGACATTTAGTGCCTTAGAAGTAGTTTTTGTGCATAAAAATTCCCATCTTTTGGTGTTTGCAAACGTCAGGGTGGTCCTCAAATTAGGAGATTTTGAAAATTAACTTTTTTGTTTTACACAATAAAAACATGTATTGTTTGAAAAAGTTGTAGCTAAGATGATTTCTGTCTCTTAACGTTCTCATTTTTGAGTATTTTTTCGGAGTTGACTAAGGGTGTTCCTGGAAAAAAATAGTTTTTTAGCACTAACTTTTTTATATCAAATTTCTCAGGAAAGTCATCTTCTAGAGACTTTTAAAACTCTTTAAGACAAATGTTTTATAGCAATATTTGTTGTCTGTATCTCTTCTAATAAAAAAGATATACCCAAATATAGTAAAAAATAAGAATACATTCAAATTGATTTTATACGAGTTTAAAAAATAACATACCTCCA